ATAACTGTGAAAAGATCACTTAAAAGTCATTCTAATACGAGCCATTGTTATTTAAGGCATTTCTTCCAAATATAAATTAAGAAAGAAAACTTTGTCAATTGAGAAAGCTTGAAAACCTGTACTGAAGAAACTTGGTTAACATATTGTGATTACGAGCATTTCAACTTTGCAAGTGCATTGTGTTGTCTTACCATTCAGAGGAAATGTATTCGTTATAGTTGTATTTTAGTTGTAGTTTTTAATTAGTCCAAGCTGTTGAGCATATTCCATTCTTACGGGCTTAATAACACTTTCTGGTAGTACTTTTGCCATAATAAGATATGTAGTTCTCATTTCTCTGGCTATGAAAGTTTCATTTGTTTCAGATGAACAATCCAAAAAATATATTTATCTTTTAAATGCTTTGTTATTGTTATTCTTTATTGTTCAACATTTGTTTGTTTGTTTTACTCTTTTCTTAATGTGTAAAATGTTGTTACGATTCATCAGTTTCTACTCTTGCTTCGTTATTTTACTTATATAACCTTTTCACGCATACATGCATACGTCCAGAAGTGACTTATTGTCCACTTCTACCGTGGGACACACTGTGGCCAAGATTAGTGTTGTTTAACTCAATTTTATGCCGTTTTAACTTTTTCCTTACTTTATTTTAAACACTTTGTAGATTTTAGATTGCTCTAATATTTAATATTATTTCAATATTAATAAACTATTTAGATTATATTTCATTCCCACTCTTTCTCACACTGTCTTACATACTTTACAGCTCCCAACATTAGCTTATTGCTCAATCATGTAGTGCGACACTACAAAATGCAGAAATTAATATCGAGGCAGTAAGTAATCCATTGGTTATCTAAACATTTTTTTATAAAAAGTGCTTCTCTGACTCCACTTACTTTTAGTACTGTGAAGTGGTATACGTCATCAATCCGTTAGGTTTGTTTAGCATCTGCAGTTAACTCCTGGTAATGTAGTCTTACTGTTTCACCTTGAAAGACGATTATATGTATTGGCTGGTAGAGATAAAAGAATTTTCCTTATAAGGAATATGTATTTAGGCTGTTTGGCTTTCCGTGTCTTTAATTTTACCTTCAATACCGCATGAATGAGCCTATCGTGCTAAAATTATCTTGATGCATTAAATAACCACACAATAAACAATTAATTTACTGAAGTTGCAGCCTTAGAAAATGCCACGTTTTTGTTCTATAATAACTGTGGACGCGTTCCTTTCCAGTTCTTTCTAGTTTTCTACCATATAGTGACACGTTTTGTGATGAAATACATATTTATTAATATATTTTAGGTTGCATTACCTTCTTCCAATTGAAATCTCCCATTTCGTATTTTTACAGTTATTCACAAATCTCAGTGATTTGAGCTCTTTTATATTAAACAAACATTTTACTATTTATATTTTAGTATTTTTCCTGACTATGATTTTGTTCGCTTTACAATTTCATCTTTTGATAAATAACTCGTTATTATCTCTATCTTTCTGTTATTTTATATCTCATCATCGTTTTTCTTTACTCATTTTATGTTCTCTTTGTAATATTCATATTTTCCTTTTGTTAATTTTGTTTTTCGTGAGATATTGTATTTCGTCGTCTGAGTTAATTAACATAACGTGCAGTTGAGTCTCCGCCTGATCACTAAATTCATACGATTCTTCTTCCTCTATAATAAAACAGCAAACATTTTTAATTTACTAAACTATTTAAAGTTAATTCGTAATTTCACTCAAGTTTTTTTTTTCGTTTGAAAATTCTAGAAATATCACAGTTAATTTGTTTATGGCTCTATATGGTGGAGATTAAACATCTACATAAAACTAAACGTAAACATCTATTCATCAATAGGTATCTGTTCTCAGCTTCTAAATTATGGCTTATTTGGCACACAGGTTTGTATATGCAGTTTAATAAACTTAAGAACAACTGTAGAACTTAGCATACTAGAAAAGCTCTACAGAAAGTACGCACATTAACATTCATTTCTGTATTTTAATACTATATGTATATATACGCTTCTTTTTATCGGATAGATAGATTTACAGAAAATAGTCGTATTACCTTTTTTCTGATTTTTTGTAAGAGAAGTAAAAATTATGAGGAATAAAAAATTAGCATTGATAGATAACATATACTCTTATATTCCTTTTCAGTCGTCTTAAATGAACCTTATATCTGTGTTATCTCTGTTAATAAGCTAAAACGGCTGATATCTACTGTAATATTCAAATAACTACACATCAGAAGTTATAAAAAATGTAAAATTGAGACGCATACGTTTAGTTGTTTGTTTGTAGTTAAGCACAGAGCTACAGAATGGGCTATCTGTGCTCTGCCCACCACGGTATCGAAACCTTGTTTCTGGCGTTGTAAAGAAATCGTACATTTCATACATAGTTATACAACATGTATATGGTTAACTAATATCCTAATAGCAATACGAATGTGATGTCAGAATTTTTTTTTCTGTTTCCATTGAACAAAATTTAAGTACAAAGTAGACACTTGCAAATAAAATTCTTATGCTCAGATATTCGTATTTAGCATTTCTCCTGTAATATTTTATTCAGATTTAAACAGTTTTATTCAAATTATATGCGTGAAATTCTAATGAAATCCATTTTAATGAATTATACTTAAAATATTATTTCTTATTCAAAAATGACAGCTTTATATACTGGACAAAATAAGTTAGTGATCAACACATTATTAGAATATGTTACAAGTAGCTGAATTATAAATCGCAATCTTTGAAAAATATCAACATATAACGCATCAACCTGTGAATATTGAACTGCTCCGCAGCGCTCCCTTTCCGTCATTCTGGAAATTAACTTTAACGCCATTGTTTTCAAAATATTTTGTTCATCTTAGTATAGAATATATCCATCTCGAGCGGCCAACACAGACCTTCAAACAATTTCAGTACGCTGTATTAAAACGATTTCGAAAATGCAAATCACGTGACAACCATAACCGATATAAAGTCACTGTGGATCGATATAAATCAGAACTATATGTACAGTATACTTTGTTTGCCCTTAGTATGTAGTATGATGCCACCGGAAGTTGATTGCTTTTAGGAACTGTATTTAATAGCCCTTACGACGCAAAATATTTATACAGTCAGATCATAAAGATGTCTTAAGATCGGGGATATATAATATCCAAGACAGGGATATCCCTTACATGTAATGGCTTTGTAAAGCAAGGAAATATTGATCAAAAAAGAGATATGTAACAAGTCGTACCCCAGCAATGATAAACAAAGTGTTACGTTGCGTAATAGGTGAGAATCCACAAACATAAAGGTCAATGCACATGCCACAGGCTACATACACAATATAATAAAGAAAGATCCCCCATGTTATGTGTACACCATATATGTACTTTCCACAAAGTATTTGTTCACCATCGCATACTTCAAGTGGCTGGAAAATTAAATGGTTATTCATGCTATTCCACACGAAGACATACCGATAAAGTTGCCGGACAGTTGAAACTTGCGCTTGGAAACCGTAGTCTTCGCACACTAAATAGCTTATGGAAGGAATGCAGATGACACGGGTGTGCTTAAAGCATAATAATTCTGCGACAGAGCCTGTTGCAACAGAAACTACGCTGAAGGGCTATTTTCTAGATGTGCGGTTTTAAGGTAGAGTGTGACTGAATGTAGCGAAGTGTACTGCACAACGTGATAAGGGTCCAAAGTCCTTTGAACAGGACGTATTCAACATCTGTACAGTGTAACTGCATACCCTCTTTGATTCTTTGGATGGAGGCCTAAGAAATGCGTTCTAATTTCTTCATCAATGCATTTTCCTGTTGATCCGGTGCAACTGGTATATAACATAAACAAAAAAATCATACTTGGAACTGATAGCGCATGTGTTCTATGGGTATTAGGTCAAAATAAAAATCTACCCAGACTACTTTACAATAATTTGCCGTTCTAAGTATGCTTTTGGGTTTTATTCGGGTTGAAGACAAGTATTATCACTCGTTGAAATGAAATTGGGCCCAATAACACCAACAAAAAGCTAGACAAATGTCCACGGGATTTTGTCCTAGTAAGCCGCAGCATCACAAATTCTAATGACACACTCGCCAATAAATATCTCCACACCATCAACGAGTTGCTGCTAGACGTGTTAACATGCAGCTACTATGTATTTGGTGTTATGCTCTCTGAACTGTATCCACGATGACTGCCATTACTGGAAATTAAGAGAGTCTTTGGGAAGGTTTTTTGTTTGTTTGTTTGTTTGTAATTAAGCACAAAGCTACACAATGGGCTATCTGTGCTCTGCCCACCACGGGTATCGAAACCCGGATTCTAGCGTTGTAAGTCCACAGACATACCGCTGTACCACTGGGGGGCCTTTGGGGAGGAGTTTACTCTTTACAGCTTTTTTGTTATAATTTTTTATTTAAGGAAAAAATAATTTATCTTATTTAATATTTTAAAAGTTGCATTTGAGCTTTTTACAAAATGTAAGTCAGAAATTGTTTAACTTTCTTTAATGTATTTTTACCCAGTGTTGTTTTAAGGATATCACAATAATATTTTGTATATATATATATATATATATATATATTAAAAATCCCTTTTTATGTTTCCTGATAGGTGACGTCTAAAATTACCCTTGTTCAAACAACATGTTTTGTATAAAATTACTCACTTTTCAGTTGTAAAAAGAATGGATGTTATACGCGAAGGTATTTTTGACATACTTTAATATATTTACTTCTATCGAATTAAACAGTAGTTCATGTTTATAGTTGGGTACGTAAAGCCGAAGCAAAACGGAATGATATACCTATAATAAAATATGTATTCGTAATTAATTTTAATACTTATTCACAAAATAAAGATTGGTTTCACTTTATGACATGTGGTGGTGTTATACATATATTCGTCATCAGTATAACAATGAATGATTGGTCAATAGTTTATGACGAAAATCTTTTAACCCACTATGGCGGCTTCCATGGAACATGAGGAAAGTGTAACCACAAGTATAGTTAAAGAAATTAAAAATAAACCAACAAAAAAACCTTCTGTAAGGTTGAAAGCTGGTGCTAGTTTGGTGCGATTTAAACCTTTATTTTCATACGATGCAAAGTAAGTGGATTTAAAATGCAATAGTATTACATTATCAGTTTATTAAACGCAGTAATGCTAAAACTGAAAATGATATTAACACTAGGCCTAATTATATGTAGTTAGGACGCCCTATTACTATTAGTATTAAACAAATTTTGTAGTATTGTAATAGTAATGTTTGATATATAGTTACATGTTAGACATGTTTTCCGTTAAATGTAATACAATGTACAAAATATATTATTATAATTTAAGATGAATTGTAAGAGTAATATTTGATTATTACAATAGTGAAGATTTCAAATACCATAAATTAAACAGAATGGTACTGTTAGGATGGGAAAGGACCTTTTGAGGGACGATTAAAGATTTGTCATAGTTATTAATGACTGGGTCACTAAATTTAACTTTTTCTTCAGTTTTTATTAATGAAGATGTAAGCAGTATTCTTCATCCTTAACATTTTTTTAGAGTAGAGGGAAATGTAAGTGATGAACAAATTTATTACATTAATTTTGAGCCTGCTTGAGATGTTTAAGAAATTAAAAGATTCCTAGATCATATTGTATTTCACTAAGGATTTTGAAGGAGGTTAAGGATTAGATTTGTGAGTCGTTTGCTGATATTTTTTAGAAGTCCTTGAGCAGTGGGCAGGTGCCAGAGAATTGGAAGTTGGCTAATGCTATTCCCTTTTTTAAGAAAAGTATAGAAATTGATCAGGTAACTAAAAACTGCCTATAGATCTATAGGCATATTAATCTTACATCAGTGGTGGGAACTTTTTTTTTAATAGTCTGATAGTGATAATAGGTGCCAAAGTCATTAAATTTTTTTAAAAGTTTAATTGGATAGTCAACATGATTTCACTAGGGAATATCATGCCTTAATAATCTCTTGACATTTTTTAAAGAGGTTGTTACTTATGTTGATGAGGGTAAGAGTGTGGGTTCAGTATGTCTAGATCTTCAGGAACCATTGGACAAGGTGTCATTTAAAAGGGTTCTTAAAAACTATTTATTTTGTGTTGGAGACAAGTTAGCTCATTGGATTGAAAAATGGCTGAAGGGAAGAAAGCAGAAGGTTGTAATAAATGGAGTTTAGTCAGATGTGATTTCTGTCACAAGTGGCATAGTCAGAGGAATGGTCAATAATTTGCTGATAATATTAAGGTCCTGGGTTTTGCTGGCCGTGAGGAGGAAGAGGATACTTTATAAAAAGAATTTAGGTCATTTTGTGAATTGGGCAAATAACTGGCAGGTGACTTTTAACTATAATAAATGCAGAGTAATACATGTGAGTTATAATAATTTAAATTTTAGGTATAATTTTGATGAAAATAACCTAAACAGTGTTGTGGAAGAAAATGCTCTTGATGTTTTGATTGAATAGTCTCTTAAGCCATCTGAGCAGTGTGACAAGTAGGATGTTGGATAGTATTTACAGAATTCATGAATATAAGGCTATAAAGAGATTATCATTTCTTTATATAGGTTATTGATTTTGGCTCTTTCAAAATATTGTTTTCATTCTTGGGGTCCTTATATTAAGAAGGACATTGATTTATATGAAAAGGCTCAGAGGACAGCTACATGTATGATATCTGGGATGGAAAGATTCTCATATGAGGACAGTTTAAGATCTTTGAAATTGTTTTCTCTTGAAAACAAAGTGTTAAAACGTGACCATTCATAGTAGAGGAGAATAAATACTTGGTACAATATACAAGAACACTGAAAAAAAAGCTATATACACACATTTCAGAGGCTCTAGAGGTTATGCATGTTCAATTTGCAAACTGTACAATAAACAAGTGTTTTATTCTTCACATTAACATCCATTTTTGCTCCTCATTGTTAGATTCTGAATAAGATTGATGTCATCAATTCACAGACATACCTTGAATACAAGAATTTTGTAAAAAAAGCTTGCCTCATTCCATGTGGATACACAGTAAATTCAGAATTGTAGTCAACATTCCTTCTATTCGGGTTCTGTACAATGGACCAGCCACATGCATATTTGGCTATTAAGATGATTCTGGAGATAGAAAGGTTATCATATAGGGGTATGTTAAGTCTTCTTAACCTGTTTTCTTTTCAAAAAAGAAGGATAAGAGGTGATCTATTAAAGTGGATTAAGGTTTCTACTTTATTTGCACTATGTTCTGATGACAACAGGATGAAAGGACACAGGTTTAAGATTTGGAAAAGGAAAGCTAGGCTTCGGTTCAGAAGGTTTTATTTTTTGAACAGGATAATTTGCCATAGCATTGGTGGAAGTGGCACTTTACAAGAATTTAAGAAGGGAATTGGTGATTTCTTAAAAAATAAGTGGTGGGATTAAATTAGTAGTTTTCTCAAAGGTGAGTGTGCAAGGACAGCCTTGAGGGACCAAATAATCCCTTGTTTTCTGTACACCAGGCCTTGGTAAATTCTGGGTGCAAAGTTGCCATGGCATCTACAAATTTCATTGTGGAGTCTAATATTTTCTCCCATTTTATTTTGCTTATTGTTGTACAGTATTGCAGTGATGAGTAAATTAGACCTATTCTGAAACAACCTGCTTGGCATGTCGAAACCACGGTGATTATTTTTACTTTACTTTAATTCATTGCAAGAATCCACCTAAGTTATTGTTATTTAGCCTACTATTTTAATAATTGCACATATTGAAGTTTAACTTTAATATATGTTATATAATAAATTTAATAATAAATCCTTTGTTTTTTAGTGTAAAACTGTACGTCTCATACCATAACCACACAACTGACTCAAAATATATTTCATAACTTTTCTATATCGGACCTGGGACCTGGATCTGAAAATATTTGTAAAGGCCTGCTGTACATTATATATTTTTTCCAAAATCCTTCAGAAATTATTTTCAATTTTGATAATTCTTATACACCTGAATAATTAATCATATTGTATAAGTGTTCACTACAGTGCTGTTATAATTATTTACAGATATTTACTTGTACCTTCCGGAAATGTTGTTAAAGTATTTAGTACTTTAAGTGGAGAATGCATTAGAACTCTTAAAGGACACAAACTTCTTGTTGTTTCACTTCAGATTAATCCTACGAACCATGTACAGGTGAGTTAATAATATTTAAAATATACAGCATGTCTGAAAATTATGTTGCATATTACAACTTAAATCACATCAAGACAACAGTTATGAACTTACAGTTTGTGGTAGATGAAGGTCACATGTATGCAGCTTTTTTTTTGTAATAACGAGTGTAATTATGTATAATACATCCTTATCACTAAATACACTACTAACAAACATGATGGCAATTCCAGAGAAGGTTATGTACATCCTGTGGCTAGCAGAGATTAAAATTGCCTATTCTGGTGAAAAGATAATATCATGGGTTGTAAGGAAAAAGATTCACCAATGTAGAATTCAATCAAGAAGTGGCAGTGACAGTATCAAGAGTCAGGGTGTGTTACACAAGAAAGGAGCTGCATTGGACTAATCCCTCGACTGACACAGTCACCAGATATCACCATGGGGATATGTGAAGGACATCATCTACAGACAGAGGTGACAGATCTGAGTACACTACATGAATGAATTATCAGTTCAATAATTGCTATTATACCCAATGTGCTGGTGAACACATGGATAGAAATCCAGTATCAATTCAATTCTTGAGGGCCACATATGGAGCACATTTAGAGGTGTATACTGATAGCAAATGATTTGTGGCAAAAAACTGCACAAGTTTGTCCTTCATCCATCGTAAACTATAAGTTTGTAACTGTTACTGCCGTCTTGTGTTTTAGATTTGTAGTATGCCACACAATTTCAGACACCCTATATGTATCTATTGTTAATTTCTAAGGAAAACACATGATGTACCGCATATAAATATTTAGATAAATGCATATAATTACTTGTACAGTTGCATTCCTCTTCATATTGAAAACATAATTTTTTGTCTTGTGAAATAAATTAACAAAAAATTTAATTTTTGATTTTTCGTGAAAACTTATTAAAGTATAGTACTATTAAACATTTGTCTTAAATATCAGTATTTAATGATAGGTTGATAATATAGCTACTAGAGAGTTATTAAAAAATGTTTTTGTAAAAGCCTAATTTATACTGAGCAAATTGTTTGTTTTAGATACTCAGCTGTGATGAAAGTGGTGTCATTATTCAGTGGGATTATGTTGATGGGACAGCCATCAAGGTAATGCAATTAAAACTTCCAAATGTGAAAGATGTTTTCATCATATTCACTGAAACTTCTTCTAGACCATGGTGTCATGATTACTTGTATTTCTGTAAAATGTGATTTCTATCATCACTTTATTGAAATTGAAATATTTACTAAAGAGAAAAAATTAAAAAACATAAGGCTTGAGTAAATGAAAAATTAACAACTAAATTTAATTTTTTTTTTTAAATTTCAAGTATAGTTCATTGCAGGCAGTGCATACCTTAAGGTTTAAATGTGTGATAATTTGATGATATTACAGAATTTACTCAAATATTAAAGAACCTAAGTTGACAAAGAAGGTATTCACACTGTTCAGTTTTAGTTTTTATTTCCCAATATACAAGTCTGTGGTGATGGGTATACCTGTTAATCAGTTCTGATCTTATTAGTCTGAATGTATGAACTGTCCATTTTCATAGCTTTTAAGCAATTTAGATATCTAACCATTTGGCAGTATTTAAGTCTAAAGAAATTACCTTTGAGTTACATCACTGGAAGAGAAAGTTGTTGTTTTTTAACTTTGTGTTTCTTCAATTATCAGAAAATATTCATTTGGAGAATTTCATACCTTTTCAGTGTTTGAGGCTAAAGAAGTGAAATAATTTTTTCAACACTGTGTTTCTTTAATTATCCAAATTTCATGTCTTTAGGTTAGATTTTTGAATAGAAATGCAAATAATTAAATATTGTTATGAGTTTGATAAATGTCATATCTTGAACTAAATCACTTTGGAAAAACTAAGCAGATTTAATTTTATTACAATTATTATAATCAACATTTTATATGAATCAACATCCGAGCATGCTATTGAAATTACTTGTCATGATATCTCACATTTATATTTCTACTTCCTTAGTCTATGATGTCATACTTAAGCATACCATTTTGTAACCTTTTTTTTTTCTTCCTTAATTTGTAATTTATATTCTCAGGTGTACAGATTGACTTTGAAGCATTCAGTAAAAGCTTTTTACGCCCCTCATTCTAGTCAACCTTGGTATGTTATCACACAGGTTGAAGGAAAAGGTTGGTGTGTGTATGTTTTGGCATATTTATTTGATAACCTTTGGTTAAAATTTTTAACCTTTAAAAGCAAGTAATAAATATATTAGTGAATGAGTCAATGCTGTTATTATAAGAAGCTTATGGAGGTTGTGGTTAAGATTTGAAGTTTTTGAAAATGTATTTGTTGCATTAAATATATGTGGGAAAAAAAGTTGCTGTATGTAGTATATACATCTTAGGATGAGGAATTTACTTTTACAGTAAAATGAGGAAAGAGTATTAAAAGAAAAAGGCCAGGGATTATCTAAAGTTCAGATTTATATCTTAAGTATATCTTGAAAAAGTACAACATGGTTTGAAATTAAATTATTTTCAATACATGTACACTATGGTATATAACTTGCAGGATACTAATAAAGTTTGAATCAATCATTAATTTCAGTTATCATTTATTAGATAAGTAGATGTATAATGAAACCTGTAATTAAATTAATGTTTTTTTGCTGCAGAATGGAAGTTTTTGTTTCGTTACAGATGTATATCAGCTTCTGTCAGTGTCAAAGGACGTCCAGACAAGAACACGATTCATTCTTCAACCTGTTTACCCTCAGCAGAATTGTGTAGCCTTTGGAGAAAAGGTGAAGACATAAAGGAAACAAGCTGACCACTTGTTTTAAAAATGAACAATAATTATTGATGTCTAGTTGATTTACTTCTTGATTGCTGTGCTTAATACTAGTAACATAATCCATTGTTTGCATACTTTTAGTTTGTCATAATTTTCATTACAAACTATGCACGTTTAAAGTGTATCAAGTCTAATTTATTTTTTGCTCAGATTATACTCTTACCAGATAATGCTGTTTTAAAATTTTCTCTACTAATTTGCTCACATTTATTTACTTTTTTTCCCATTTAGGGTCAGTTTGTTGCAGGTATTTATGAAAATGAACTTCGTATTTTTGACCTGAAAAGTAAAAATTTTAATATGTAAGTTCAAATGATTTTGAGTTGTCACATTTAATCTTTCTGATAAGTAAATAACTAAATCATGTTAGTTTGTTTGAATAATTTTTTGTTTAATTACTTGTACATTCCTTTTACAATATTAGAAAATTATTAGGATTTTCAATAAAATTGTTTTATTCAGTATTATGTATTATAGGACTAAAGTATATCAGTTTACACATTTTAATAAGAAATTTAAAAAACAACTTTTACACCTGATTATTATAAGAGAATTTTTATTTTAACCAATGTTTTGCCTTTGCAGCTTCTTTAGGACTAGTACATAAAACTGTGTTATTTTATATTGTATGTAGTTGTGAAAATGATTAGAATATATTTTGTTATGAAAATAAAAAAATCTTAGTGATATGATTTTAATTGTAATTTAATTGATATCAGTATTACACAAATTTTTCACTGTAGTGTTAATTTGGAAAATAAATATTTAAATCCATCCAAATTTATTGAGAGGAGATTGTTTTATATGTCATTAATCAGAATTATCAACAACTTGGTTGAAAAGTACTATTTGATGCACTTTACAATAGTTTATTCTGAGAGTAGTAAACACTGGTTTTAATATATTTTTCTTTTGAAATGTTACTTGTTAAAATAAATACCAATACTTTTTGTAACATGTGAAACATGAAATACCAGATTTTTTTTGTGTGCTTGCTTCTAATAAGTTATGCCATTCTTAATTGTACTTTGATACCAGTATTCTGCATTATAAAAATTCAACACCCTTTTGTATCATTTTGTATTTCTAAAATAAAAACTAATTGTACTTTGATACCAGTATTCTGCATTATAAAAATTCAACACCCTTTTGTATCATTTTGTATTTCTAAAATAAAAACTAATTTCTGAGCATAAGTTCTAGAAATCTAATAATAAGAAAACTATTTAGCTTTATAGAACATTGAGAGAGTACATAAATTTGTTTAGAATTTATGTGGAATATCTAAAAAATTAATTTTTACAAAAACTTAGAAATTAATAAGGATAGAATTGTAAAAAATTTTGCTTTTCTAAGAAAACTAAGTAAAAAGGAACTAATATGATTAAATAAATTAGACAATAAGTAGAAAAGAAACTAAAACATTTTTCAGAAGAATGAATAATTGAAACAACTTGATATTTATACATATGCTGTATAATAATTTTCGATATACACAAAAGTGCCTGATGTTCCTCCTCAAATTCCTCATGAGTATGATTGAAGAAATTGTTCATAGTTTGTGTTCAGTTTTTATATAATGAATGAATATCAATAAGTATTAAAACAAAAATTTCTAAGCCTTGTATATCTTACTACAATTACAACAGTTTCACTAATCTTGTAAATTTGATAGTGTATATAGTAATCAAAGCAAGAACCAATCAAAAGCTTCAGAAAACATTTCATATTCATAACCTTTTATTGTGTGTTTAATGTCATGTAATATATCTGCTACAATTATTTATAATGTCACTGATTTTAAGAATATTTTATCTTGAATAGCAATTAGTGCAATATATTTGTTGTTTACTCGTTTCATAATAGAAATATTTTTGTTTACTCGTTTCATAATAGAAATATTTTTGTTTACTCGTCTCATAATAGAAATATATTTATGTTGTTTACTCGTCTCATAATAAGAAATATTTTTCTTTACTCGTCTCATAATAAGAAATATTTTTGTTTACTCGTCTCATAATAAGAAATATTTTTGTTTACTCATCTCATAATAGAAATATTTTTGTTTACTCGTCTCATAATAGAAATCTTTTTATGTCGTTTACTCGTCTCATAATAGAAATATATTTATGTTGTTTATTTGTCTCATAATAGAAATATTTTTAACATATTAACAGAAAGCAACATTTTGGAAAAATAATTTTTTCCTTGAAATAACATCAACAAAAACAATAAAAATCCACTTTTTATTTAGAAATATTCCACAATGAAGTGATAGTAACTTTGTGTTGGACTTATCTTTTGTTATTATTCTTTCATTAATTAATTTCTTTTGTAAGCTCAGTTTCAATGTAAGTAATATTTTATTTTTATCTGTTTGCTACTATCATATTTTAATTGTGTGAAGATGATTTTTGAATATGACCTAATAGTGCCTGTTGAATATCTCTGAATTAGGTATCTCATGTAATGCATTTTTGGAGTAAAATATACATTATTTCCTTTTAAGTAAAGTTGTTTGATCTCTGACTGCTTGATTTTAGTAACTTTGTGATACATATCGTATTTGTGGATCATCATCAATATATTTAATTACTTTTATAGCATGTTAAGTATATAGTAGTTTTATATTTTGTAACACAGACTTGCTGATATTTACACGGATTGAAAATAATTTGAATTGTATCAATATTGAAATGTAGGACTTTTTTTGTGTTTTCATTCTTTTGTGCAGTCAGTGAAATAAGCATAATTAATGTAAGATTAATTAATTTTTTTTACTAGTAGGGCTAAATGTATCATATTTCCAATTTCTCAACTCTCTTTTTTTTTTCCTGTTCCTCTTTATTTTTAGATTCATTTTCAGGGTACGTTAATCGTTTTGTGATAAGGAAGTCTACAAATAGTTGTTCGACATCATCTAGTATAATTTGAATGCTTTCTTTATATCTCATCTGAATGTAAGTTTTTGAACCATTTGAAGAAACATCTGCCTATAGCATGTCAGATTGTGGACTTAAAGTTCCAAAAAATAACAACATGGTCCACATGGGCCATTAGAGTGATAATCAAATCTCATTATTCAGTAAGGCAGTAGTAGTCCAAGACTTAGCAATGGGTGATGTTAACTAGTTTTCTTCCATATAGTCTATCACTTGCAGTATTGCAAAAACAAGTACAGTTAATCCTTGAGTAGCTTTTTGTGAAATTCAACATCAAAATAATTATGGCAACAAGACAGGCATTTATTCTGTTTTGCATATTCTTCATTCACTTCCTAAAAATAAATATAACGGTAGTCTGTTCTGAAGAATTCTTGGTATTAAAAATCACTGGGATATCTTTTTTTTTTTCACTTTCTTAGGAGCTGCTTAGAAGACCATTGAATTTTCTGAACTTAAGATTTATCTCCTTTTGTACTCATATTATTCTTTTTGCAATTTAGTGTTGATTTTTTTGTTACCTAAATATTTCTCTCTCTGATCTACAAGATGCCACTGTATTTTTTATCTGCAAGGACTCATATTTTTTCTTTCTTCCTGTTCCTAAACTTTAAGTACTTAGAAATTTGGTAATTTTGTAATGTTAAATTCTCTTCCTGATTCTGAGATTGGTGTCTTTTGGATCAATGTTTCATTAGATATTTCTGCTTGAATTTTTGCAGCCTTTTTTTTCCACACATAGTTGTTTTTGTATATAACTAAACAAATTAGATTCTTTGTGTAGCATCTTAATTTCTTCTGTGTTTCACTAAATGTTTTTAATTAAAATATAAGTTTTTAGGAACTATCTTTATGAAGTTGTTTATTTTCCTTGTCTTTTTTCTTTTATTTGTTTTCAGAATTTTCATTTAGGGTATCATACATCAGAAAGAGTTAGTGAAATTCATTTTACATTGGCCTCTTTAATGGTACATATTTCACAATTGTCATTTAAAGTTTTATGTGTGTGAACACATATCTTATGAAATACTTTAACTTGAGAATTTGAGGGAAATAAGAGCAATTGAAGATGTGATTCTAACTTGTTTTATTTTTATTTCAGTCACAAAGCTGGAAATGTCAGATTAACTTGTATAGCTTGTCATCCTTCTCGAGGCTTTATAGCAACAGGTGATGATATGGGGAAGATAATAGTTTGGTATGTTGAGCAAGAAATGTGATAATTCAAAACTGTGTAATATAGAACAGTTATTAGAAGCTTCAGATTACTATTTATGAACTTATCAACAAGTAGCAGTATTTTTCTTATAAATATGTAGTAAGGCTAGGTAATTTTGAAAATCTTTGAAATATTTAACTTGAATATTCACTGAGTGTTAGCAGACGTACTTATTTCACATGTGGTGTAATACATCAATGGTATCTTAATAAATAATGTATTTTTAAAATATATGTATTTAGTAAGAATTAGTGGGAATTCAAGGTTTTCAACTCTTGCTAGTTTTTACACAGAAATCCGAAATAAAATTGAGATTAACTGAGAAATTTAAATCATAAATTTTGAAAACATTATATTTTAGATAATTTTACTGTACTTTAAGTTCGAGTACTTAAGAATTAAATTTTATTCATCTAACGTCTAAACTTTGTACCCAGCATGATATTATTAGATCTAACTAGTCCATTGTTGTGATTAACATGTACAAGTACATCAGTCTGAATTACTGTTGATACTTTGAATACTTTTTTCATTATATCATTTAGATTACCAGCTGATTTTTTTATATTTTAAAATTAGAATGTGTCAGAGTACAGAAAAATTTATTTCTGTCATAGTTATTACTGTTAATGTAGTTTTTGATTAAATTAATATTTAGTACTTTTTTATTTCACAAATTATTATCATTATTTGATATGCGTGTCTAGATGTTTTTAATCAGTAATGTTTCCTTCTATTGTACAGTGATAGATGTTAAGCATGCTCAAGTAAAAACAATAAAAACATTAATAATCACCATCATCTAATTGAAAACTTATCCCAGTATTGCTCTTAAAATAAAAATAGCATAAATCTTTACTTGACATTTTGTGCTTAAGATAAATTTATAGTGAAAGAATTATCAAAGATTCAACACAGAATGATACATCCTCTATCCATAGCACTATCTTTTATCATTTGGAGCATGTTAACTTTAATGAGCAATTTTATTTTCTCTTGGTAAACAGTCATGGAATAGTGTTTTTTCTAGAAAGTAGACATTCTGTTACCACTGAAATTCAAGTCTGGATCAGTTCACTTTTTTATGTATGTAAATAGAAAGAAATGCGCTCAATGATCCCAACACTTGGTTGCAGTAAATGCTGAAGATGTTTATGATGTAATTTCCTATTCTAAAGTACATTTCTGAATTATGCAGAACTCAACTGTATTCCCAGAAAATTTCAAAACAAGCAGATTAGGCTTTTATGTTACTGTTTTTTCCACCACTAAGCATTGGTAATTTGTGTTTCATCTCTAAAATGAATTTTTACTCAAAGTTAAAATGAATTTATGTAAAGATTTTTCATTACAAATCACCATTTTATTTTGTAATAACAAACTTTATAACCTTTTGTAGTATTACATTTTCATGTATAACCCTCCACAAAAGTACAGGTTTCTCTTTCTTTGTGTTCCATTATTTGTCACTTTGTTTTTGAAATATTATGGCATTATCTCCATATTCTATTTGTCCGTGGTTACTACATAACTTGCATAAAGAAGAACAGATTACATTATCATTGTAATATATTATCATTCACGAAGTTTGTAGGATACTTATGTCATTGTACCTAATACTAATTCCATAACACTTCAGACAAAACCTTATGAAATATTACATCTATAAGAGAGATGAATAAAATTCAACATAAAAATATGTGTTGTTTTGGTGTATTAACAATGTTAATTCATTTTCTCATATTGTTTTATATATGTGTGTAAATGAAGCTGTAAAGTATCTGCTTTCTCTTGTTGATTAGTGGTGAAGATTGATTTGCAGATGCTATTAAGGTTACAAGTTTTCAGTGTGTGTGTGTGATCCACAATCATTTATTAAGAATCATATTTCCCGTTTTGTTTTTAGGGCAAATTTTATCAAAAGTAACCATCCAACTCGTTCAATCTATCATTGGCACACACTCTTAGTAGCAGATCTTGAATTTTCAGCAGAAGGTAACTTCAATTTTTTAAATTTATTTACCTATTTTTCTACATATACGTCTTAAATATTGATGTCATTTTGTTTTAAGTTAAGAAAGTTTTTGACAGTTTGAAAGAAGTATTGTTTTTTAATACTGAAATTGTATCAGTCAGTACAAAACAAATATTAATAAGAAAGGTACCTTTTTTATTTGTTAGAATGATGTTAAGTACAGAAGTATAGATAATCAGAAGAATAAAAATTTCAGTCCCACAACATTTTGACAATATGAATTTCTTGTTTTTAGGAGATAATTCAATGCTTTCATGGTAAAATTTTTCTGATATTTTGTTATAGTATATCCCTTTTTATGTAAAAGATAGTCTTGTAGTTGTCACGTTAACCCTCTTGCCCTGGGTATCCTTTACTGTGCATGACACAAGGTTTTAATGTCTTACATTAGAAATTTTATTAAACTACTTTTTGTTTAAGGTATACCAATTAGTATAGCATAAAATCTTGGCTAATAATCCATATTCTAATAGTATATAAGTTTTAAGTTCTTAATTTTATAAGGCAATATTTAAAAAATCCTGAAGTGTGACAAATGTGACACATCTTCTCTAGGTATCCCCCCTACCAAGCAACTATGAAATTAAATGTAAATTTACTCATTATGACGGATAAAATATAAAGTTTTATTAAAAACAAACATTTGAAATTTACTTAGGAGGTTATAGAGAGTACACAAATGAAATTTAAGATTTTTAAAATGAAGAAAAGTATTTTAAATCTTAACATGAAAATCACTTTGCACATGGACTATTCAATACAAATACTCAATATATTCATAAACAAATCTTTTTTTTTTTAATTTATTAAAAATACTTCACTAAAAAATATGATATTTTTTATGTGAAAGGCTTATAATGTTTACTGAAAGACTGCCAAATTTTTTGAAGATATACACTATGTCAGAAGTTACTAGTATCAAATTTATAAAGACTATACGAGTGCATAAAGGTTCACGTAGTCAGTCAAATTGACCGAGCCCATGTGGAAAGAGTTAAAGGATATTTAAATAATTTTGCTTCTTTGTCTTATTTTGAGACAGTGGGACTGTATTTTCCAAAAGCATATATATATTCCAAATAAATAGTTTTACATTATCATCAACAAATACAAAATGTGTAACTTACTTAAAACATTAGAAGTTACAAAGCTTAAGTTAATTCTACTTACTTGATCTGGTTTTTCCAAAGATGGCCTAACATTATGTACAGTATAATACACAAATAATCTCTCAATAGATGGAGAAAAAAATACTTGGAAGTTCAGATCAATCTATATGTTTCAGTGAGATCATCTTGAAATACCTTTTATTTTTTTGTAATTTACTTATAGTTCTCTGATTAAAAATGGTTATGAATTTGATCTTAATAACATTGAAAGAATCAGAGGAACTGGAGAAATTAATTACAGAAATATATATATTGTTTTATTGTTGAAAATGAAGTTCATCCAGTACTTAGAAAGAACCCTTTAAGTCAGTATACCATATTTTGTGCACAAGAAAGTTGTAAACAGGTTTTATGAGACTAGCTAATAAATAGTTCTAAATTTTACATTTATTTTAAGATTATATTTTGTGATCTTTGTCATAAACAACAGATAAATGCCTAATTTCTTACCTTGTACTGGATTCATATTTTGAAAGTCTCTTCAAACACAGTGATTTTGTTAATTTTTTACCAAAAAATAAGCCTAGTGGTGTGCAGTTATAACAATCACACAACACGGTATACCATTTTTGCAATAGAAAGAGACAATTTTAATCAGTGAAACAAACCAGCGAGCACATTGACAATATAAGTAACCATACTACAGAGTGAACTGGTTATACTACCTTGTGGTGTCTCATGTCACACATTCTCATCTAATCATTTTACGTATCCAGCGCATTTGAGTGTGTGAAAATAGTGCATTGTATATTGTAACCCGCAACGTTTTAGGTAAAATATTTGTATCATAAGTGGTAGGGTGGGTCAAAATGACCCATGTGCAATAAACTTCAAAAATATTATCTTTATAATAAGGTGGGGGTGAAAATGACAAGCAAATGATTCCAACTGTAATGGCACATCTGGTCAATAGTCAAGAACTGACTGAGGATGGAGTACAGAAAATATCAAGTAGAGAACAGCTGTAGCTGTGTTGGAATATTGACTTGAAAAATTGATGTGGGTCTTTCTGACCCCACTCTGTTAGTTGAGAGTTAACAAAACATTATATTAAATTTAATTTTCTCAACAATCTATTAATTAATTTGAATAAGAACCAACACCAGCTTCTGAAATTAATTTAACAAAATTGTAAATTTTTAAATGTCTTTTGAATGTATGCAATTTTATTTTCTGTAATGAATATTGTAACACAGAATATGTCTTTGTTTTATTACATAGTACTTAAAAGTTAATATTCATAAAAGAATTCAAGGATAGTATCCATTTGCTTTTAGCATATACAATAGTAATGTTTGTGTGTTATATTAAATGGACATTTGTTAAAGTGTTTGTTGTTGTTTTTTCAAATTTGCTTCAAAGATTTTTTTTTTGCTTAAAACATTTGAGTATTAACAAATCTTTACATTATTGTGCTGTTTAGGAACTTATTTGTACAGTGGTGGAGGAGAATGTGTTCTTGTGAAATGGAAACTTGGTTCTGATAATCGATATTTTTTACCTCGTATGGGTCTGCCTATCTGCCATGTTGCAGTGGCACCAACTAATAGTTATGTTGCAACATCCCATCTGGATAATGGTAAGTTCAGTTGAGTATGAAGTTCTTGGATTTAATATAGAAAATCTACCTAATTCTGTGCTTTCTGGGAGCTGGTAACCAGAAAATATTGGCATTAGTAATAATTTGTTTTTTTTTCTTTTGTAACAGAGTTTTAGAAAGTTTGCATGCCTTTCCAAATTATGAAAGCAACTAATTAGAAACAAATAATAGACTGAAGTTGTTATGAGCAAAGAATTTACTGGTATTTTGATATTTGAATAATAAGTACATTTAATTCTGTGAAAAGCAGTTTCTCCATATTACTGGTGACATTTTATTAACACCACATTTTAAATACATAAATCAGGTTTTGTCCAGAGTGGATGTATATGAGTAAAATTTGTTTTAGTAATCACTTTCCTTTATGCTGTCATTGTTTTTAATGTGCTATAATAATATTAATGGATGTATAAAAGTTAGAGCATGAAGGGAATAACTTGCTTGTTTTTGGTTTGTTACGAATGCTACAAGACCCTTATTTATATATATATGTTTTGTAGTGTGTGTATATAGACACGCACATGCCTTGTAGTGTTCATAAAATTAGACCAGTTACCAAAGTAAAGTATTTTTACGATTTGTTTCGGACAATTTTTATTTTGTAATCAACTTCTTAAGCTTGTGTTTCTTCCTCCATTTATTTGTCTTTATTTTCATCAACAGTTTTCATATGCTTTTCGACAGTTTGTTTCTTCATGTTTGCTGATTTTAGAAATTGTATTTGTTCTTGAGTGTCCCAATTTGAATTATTAACTGTCAGATTGACTGAGACCTACTAGTTTTGAACAAGTTTATAATATTTCGGACTTAGGTGCTACTCTATTCGTTTATCATTTGCCATGTTTACTAGAGCTGTTAGCTGTTCTTCTGAATATAGACTGATAGTTGATTTTGTTCTCGCTGTTTCCTACATTTTTACATTGGTTGACTTGTACATGATTTACAAACTGACTATCATGAATCTTTGACATGTTTATTTACATGAATTTATACATACTGTATAGGAGTAATTCTAGTCAAAACTTTTTCCTTTCTCAATAGTTTTATTTAGTTTCACAGAATTGCCCATTTCTTTTCATATGTTTAATTAAGCCATTTGGGTTTCATTCTTACTTTATTTAGTTGGATTTCTTCATGATTGTACCCCCCCAACTGAAAATCAAATTTAATTCTTCATTTAATAGTGGAGATTTCAATCTTCAGAGTTTAATTTATTCATTATTATTTTTGGTGTGGGAGGAGAGGAAGGAGGACTTGTAAAATGTAGTCATGGAAATCATCAATATTGAGTGCTATGTAAGCATAAGTTGTTTTGTTGTGTGAATTAAAATATTTAAGAATTGCAGATTGTAATGAATTATTTCAATGAGTTTCTCTTTACTTGTATCTATTGACATATAGCTGATCTTTTGATGTGTATAAAACATTTTGTTAAGACGTTTTATGCCTTTAAATATACTTAATAGGTTGTGATTTAACAGATTTTATTGTTTGCATAATGAATTTCAACGATTGTTTGAAATTCTGTTTTCTTTATGCTACAGTTCTCATTTCATCAGGTTGCTGTCACAGGGGTCTTAAATCATGCTTTTTTGTTGTTATTCCAAACCTACAGATTAATAAAACATAATATATATGCTAGTCTAGGATTTTCCTTCTTGCTTTTAATAAGTAACTTACTAAGCATACATCATTGAAAGGGATAATACAATGAAAATGTCAGTTTGTCAGAAAGAGTGCTGTAAACTTAATGTTTCTAAATGGCCTGACACATGGTAGTACCATATGCATTTGATAACTAACTTTCACTGATCTTTGCATTCCATTCTTCATCACTCGAATGTTTCATTATTATCAGCTTCTTCTTGAAGCACTTATAACCAATAGTCTTTCTTTCTTTTGTTGTTGCTGTTGATGAATATATCTAGTTATTTTTGTAGTAGTCTATTTCTCCTACTTGAGTTTGATTCCTTCGTGGCATACCAAGGCATGTTGACCCTAAAACCACCTGTTCCTTTGTGTTGTAAAAGACTTAAGCATTTTGTTTATAAATAAAGGCATGTCATTGGAAACATTTAATGAATTACTTAAACTATATGTGCTAGATTGTGCTACAAAGTTGCATTTTGTTTTTCAGCTATCATTCATTATGAAAGTATAGTACCTACAAAATCTGGAAAAGAATAAATTTGAAGTACAAAATATTTCAAAACATCCAATACATTGAATTTAGGATGACCAAGAGTCAAACCTTGATACACCTGTACTATCCTGTTCTGTGGATTCACTAAGTTGATGGCTAAAAAAAAAAAAATTTAATCTACATCGGAGGTATTGTTGGAAAACATCTTCCTGGTGTTAAACAAATGGAAAGCCCACTGTCTACTGGTCTTCTTCATGATCCACGTACTAATGCCCTGGTTCTAAATGGAAAACCTGGGCACTTGCAGTTTTACCACCTTGAAAATGATAAGCAAATGTTTAATGTAAGTAAAAGTACATTTTTGGATTTCAATTTGATTTATAAAGAATAGTTATACTTGGTCATACAAACTCTTCAAAGATTCTGGAAAATTTTAAGGATTTAAAACTGGTGTTGCAGTCTTAGGAAATGATGTCAAAGAAATTGATCAAACAATAGGAGAACATGCGAAACATGGTTCAAAGCGTGATGAAACAGTACTGGTCACAAAATCAGTGACAGATTTCACAAACGCGATGACACATTAAATCATAATCTTGAATTGCCAATCTCAAGGCACTTTTCAGTCATGATATAACATGACTTGTCACATCCCAAACTTGTTATTTTAAATTTTCACCAACAGACTGTTATTTATGTGGACATGAAGAACAATGCCTTATTTATACTCAAGGTACAATTTCTCCACTTTTTTTAACTTTATTTTTGAAATCCTCCAACTTTTCCCACTATTACCCCTTGCATATCAGCTTTGTATTTCTTGACACCTTTTCCTGCTTCTCTTTCACTTGCATCATTTGATTTGCCAGTATTGTTACATCACACTTTAAACAATGTTTTGCACATTCTCCTATTGTTGCTTTTTCATAGTGATATTCAAAGATGCTCTTTATATTTAAATTTTGTAAAACATCACTTGAAGAAGGGTTTAGGCCCAAAACGTTTTGTCAAATTAAAGTTTCCCTAGGTTTTATTACCATCATATCTACTGTGGATTGTAACACACAATTATTTATTCTAATGCAGCCTCGGGTTTCTAAACTTTTGACAATGGCTTGCTTTTGATTTTATTTCTCTACAATGCTCTTTAGACCCTATCTAACAATGTAGCAGTCAATTAACCAATGTGGGAGAACTTAGTGTAAACAACCATTGAAGTTACAATCATGTGAAGCAGTTAGCTCATGTTTGTCTTGTGAATTTTTGTTTGTTTGCATTTACATTTTAGTATCTAACCTAGTGCATTTCCATTTTTACATTTGAATAACTTCTGTTAAAAAAAGACAAGAAATTTAAGACTTACATAAGCAAATACTTGGGAATGTGCCTCGATAAGACTACTTTGTTTCACACTACGTTGGTTGTCCACAAAATGATTTGGTGTTGCTTTACAGGAAGAGTTTTGACATCTTGTTAATGTTTAATGTACAGTATCTCTACATCATCTATAACAATAACAGTTTTAAACAATAATAAATTTTGTAAAAAACATTTATAAGTACAGTATTTTAAATGAAGTAATATGATATATTGTAATAAATATGTAGGAAAATGCAAAGGTGATAAATAAAAAAATTAGGCTTTTGGAGATAAATCACCTTAAAAAATATTGCCAAGAAAATAAGATCCAACCATAGTTTTTAAGTTGATTTATCTCCAAAAGTCTAATTGCAATGTACTCACCAATTAAATATCCTGGTGAAAGCTTGTCAGTTTAAGGTTCATGTTTTGCAGATCACAAAAAAAGTAACTTAAATATTAATGAATCACAGTACAGGTGGCTAACAACTGAAGCTTGCCAGTGGGAAGGAACCTGAAACCACAGCAGCAGTGCTAAGCTACAATAAACATTTCTATTTTAAGATAATGAAAGTTTGAGTTTCAAGAGCTTTCAGCATGTGAAGATGCCAAATGACAAAGATTTTATTGCACTTGCATAATAAAGTTGCTTTATTAAATATTTATTGTAACTCTGTAAAATGTTTGTGAGAAACACACTGCAGTTCCACAAGTTACATAGGGTTAAAGAAGGTTTTAATTCAATACATGTATGTTTTTCACATAATACGATTATAAGCTGTGGATTTCTTTACTAAAGTATAAGAAACATATTTTCTATTTTTGGTATTATTATTACTTCTCAAACCATTAAGGTTTTAAATGAAAAAACAAATTTTCTGTGTATTAAATTTAATATCAAGCTACACATATGATGAAGCAGAACTAAACTCAATTGCTTTGTTCCTTATTTCATATCTTCATGTCTGAAATACACATGTAATCATGTTTCCTGACTTATCTTTCTAGACGTAGTGGCTCCTCGCTACACAGCCATAGCCTTGTTCCTTGTTTAATGTCCTAACTATAGGACATAAATACATAAATTTGTGTCTTAAATACACAAATGTGTAATCATCATGTTTCCCATTTAATATATTTTTAGTATTGTTCAAGTTTAATGTAGTAGAAATAGCAGATCAGAAGTACTTTAACTGTAGACTTGTTTGTTCTTTGATACCTTACTTGTTGCAGTGAGCCATAACTAGTATCATTCTCTACTTGATAGATCAGTTCTACATTATTATAATCAGGTTTTTCATATATGTAAATTTGTTGTTAAATTTGAAAGCTCAGACAATCCTTGTTTACAAGCATATCAACAATAGAATCCATTGGGTAAAATATGTGAAATAAAGAGTTCATAATTGTTGTACTAGATGTTGTATGAAGTTGAAAAGAGAGAGTAGAAAACAAAAATTGGTTCCTCTGAAAATAACTGAACATCGATGGATTAAGTAAACTATACAGTGAACACAAGGAAACAAGTAAAATGCTCTCTTCGGTTATTAAGATTAAATTTCCTTAGAACAGTGAAATTTATTAGGTAGGAGTGTTAATAAAATACATGAAAAAATATACTTTACTATTGATTATGGCAAGAATCCAGAACAACAGTTGCATGTGGTAGATAAGGGTAGGGCAGGAACAGACACTATGGAACTTATACAAACAGCCTTGATTGTTAACATGAGATCTAATTTCTTTTATATATATATATATATATATTTGTTCAAATGCTGATCTGATGCAATTTTGTTTTTCTCTTTCTACGTAAATGTGTGTTTTGATTGGTTTATATTTTTTATTGATTGTCTTCATTCATCAGGATTCTGTTGTTTAACTTCTCTGACCACCTGGAATTATATAATTAGATATTTATTAAAATCTAGCTGAATGTAGTGTTAGAACTAAATGTTACTTTTGTTTGGCTACTGTTCATTTTGCAGCTAATCACAATTGGCTAAAGTAACATAGCTGTAGAATTATTTTTCCCTGTTTCATATCTGGTTAAACATAGTTGGCCAAGATATTATAACTATTTTGTTTTTTGTTTGGTATCTGGTTAAACTTAGTTAGCCAAAACAGCATAATTGTAGTATGTATTTTGTTGCTGTTCAGTTAAAAATATTGTTCAACAAAGCTGGCCAAGATGGAATAATTGTGATATACCTTTTGTTTGATACCTAGTTAGATATAGTTGACCAAAACCTTGCAACCCAAGAACGACATCAATGTGTCATCAATAGAGAAGTAACTAAAGCTTGTATAGATAATAATGGTGAATGGCTTGGAACAGTTGAACTTCGTGATGATGGGGAGACAAATATAGAGATTAAGCTAAAATTTTGGTGGTTTGATTCACTTTCTCAAAGGTAAGGATATTTGTATTTAGTTCAGTAATGAAAACTTATTACTTTTAATATGCACATAAGGTAATTGTATTTGCTACTTTGTGTTTGAAAGGTGACCAGCATAATTCACGATTGAGGAATAACTCTCAAATCATCATTTTTTTAACCATTCATTAGAAATGAGGTCCACATTATACTGAATAATTTTATATTTTTGCCAGTTACTTTGTAAGCAGCTGATTAAAATATGGGGTGAAATCTCTCATTTTTTATGTAAAATACAGTAATAATTAGTGGGATTAATATCAATATTGATATTTTAGTTTTTTTCTTATTGTGTGACTCGTGTTTAGGGAGGACCCTGTAGTCAACAAAACTATGAATCAGTAAGCATTTTGATGTGTAAATAATTTTAAGAAATGTGTTTGAAAAGTTGATGGGCTTCATTTCTGTAATTCTATGGTTAAGATGTTCTGTATTTTAACTAGACTTGTGTAATTATGGTATTGAAGTTTCAATTCATATGGCATTGGTTAACCCTTTCGAGACAGGTCACAGGTGAAAGGCCATGTCATCTCATTTGTTGACTCACATTTAAAATGTTTTTGAACTACTATTTTATGAATTTATGTCAATAAGTTTGGTATCAAACTGTAGATTGTAATTCAAATTTTAGTACTATACATTACTCAATTTCTTAATTTAAATGTAAATATTAAAAAAACACAGATAAACATAGATTTTTGTGTGTGTGTCACGTGGTATGTTGAATGCAGCACTGGTTCGAATTAGATATCAAAATACTAAGTCTGTAGTTTTATACGAATTAGAAACTCAAATTACTGTTATTGACAAGCTAGAATATAAAATAAGAAGGTATTTTCTATTTGCTAAGATTTATTATGTAATAAATCAAACACAGTGGCACCCTGCCCACCTCTTTCCACTTTTGGAAACGTTCCCTTATATACACTTACTCTTATATATGACATGAATAACCAATTGGAAGCTCAGAATGTCCCCCTGGTGGCTTCCTCAGCCATTTTAATGGGCTTGGATGCCATTTTTTTCTTTTGAACCAATATTTCAATCAGGTGGGTTGTGTCTTTATTTTATGCTCAAAATTTCATATTTTTTTTTAAGACTAAAATACATCTTAGGTACTAAGCTTGATGAATTATATTGGAATTCTATGGTATTGATGTAGTAGTTTATGATTTTTTAGTTATTTAAATTTATATATAAAACTTAAAAAAATATTTTGTTTGACATCCTCCATATGCAAAAGTTTTAAAGGCTTAGCAACCTTTGTCAGGCAACAACCAAGTACAAAGATCGTAACTAGAAGAGATAATTGTTTGCTTTACTTCCTTATTTACTGTTCTATGTTTTAGGAAAAATATGTTTAAGAACTTATTTCAAAATAGCAATAATGTATAATAATTAAAATGTGACTTTATTTTACAAAATATTACTCTGCTAAAACACGGCCAAGACAAGCTACTTTGTACAGACCAGAGATCAGTTTTATGTTACTGGATATGTTACTGCCTATATGTTAGATAGGCAATATGTGAAAAGAAAAAAGAGGCATGAGAAAAAGATTGCTTTACAAACCTTAAGACTTAATAAAAAAAAATTGATATTTTGCGTATCAAAGCATTGTAATGTTTACTGAAAATGTACCAAATTTTGTTAACATTTGCTTACTAATTTAAAAGTTATAGCATGAAAACTATAACAAGCACAAAATGGTTATGAGGTCAGTCCCAGGGACCAAGCCCTGGATATTTGCTTTGTAAGTAAGCAGAGTTTTATCCATGGTTCCTCAGGAAAATTCTGTGATGTTTTATTGCAATGTTCTAACATTGTGGAAAATATGCAGTGTCATGAGCGATTGATGAGAAAAATATTATAATTAATAAACATTGTAGTACATGCACCGATTTCAAACATTACAGTGAATTTAATACTAACAACTAGTTTAGCTCTCACTCCTTCTATACCACACAAAAATACTTTATATATTGGCATGCTGAGAGTAAGAAGCAGGACTTTGTTGTTTTATATTAGCACTATCCAGTAAAATTCAGAACACAGAAGGAACAAGAACAACTTTGACTAAACAAATACACAGAAAGAACAATAACTATTTAGTACTGACCAAAGAAATACACAAGAGGAACAGTAACTATTTAGTACTGACCAAACAGATATGCAGAAGGCAAAATAAAAATTTAGTACTGACCAAACAAATACACAGAAAGAACAACAACTATTTAGTATTAATCAAACAGATATACAGAAAGAACAATAACTATTTAGTACTGACCAAACAAATACACAGGAGGAACAGTAACTATTTAGTACTGACCAAAGAGATATGCAGAAGGCAAAATAAAAATTTAGTACTGACCAAACAAATACACAGAAGGAACAATAAAAATTTAATACTGACCAAACAAATACACAGAAGGAACAACAACTATTTAGTATTAATCAAACAAATACACAGAAGGCAAAATAAAAGTGTGGTACTGACCAAACTAATACACAGAAGGAACAATATTTGTGTTAATCCAGCATATGAAATAAATTTAAAATGCTCGATGAAAGTTCTTAAAGCTTGAAAATCAGATATGAAAATTTTGTGATAAAAAGAAGTAATGTTTTTTAATTTACAATTAATTGCACAAATTGATTATTTATATTGGGATTACCAGAGAAATAGTTGAATTTGTCATTGCCAAATTGCTTCAGAATAACTAAACTCTTATTTTTGCATATACAACAGAAAGTGTAAAATAAGTGCAGTTAATTGCATTCTGAATGAGTGAATGACAACTTGTAATATATAGAAGAAAATATATGATAATTTAATGTTTAATGATGGTGGTTGTTTTTTTTCAGTATTCTACAGGATGTAGTTTATTATTAGTTTAATCATGTAAATATATGGTCTGTATTTCAGTCAGTAAAAAATTAATAAAATCTTTCTTTTTTTTCTCTCCCTCTCTCCACTTTGGAAATGGTCCAAAATTTAGACCTGTTTTAAGCCTAAATAAAACTTTCCACATGAAATATTTTTTTCTTATCATACGTGTTTCAAAAGCTGAAATTTTTGTTTGTTTTTTTATCACAATTAAATATATCTATTTTTCTATAAATTCATTGATATTGTTTTAAGGTTAATCACATATGACTAGAACACACAAGTGTTTGCACACTTTTAATTCATTCTCGTCAGTGACACTTCATGATTTATTTCGGTCAATAGTAAGTAGTTTCTTGGGAATGCTTTTTAGCCATGAAACACTAAAAACCCAGCTGAGTCTTTGTTTTCCAAGCACTTTCACTGAGAAAAAGCACGAGTAATTCTAGTACTTGGAATAAATGCTTGTGGAGAAAAAAATAGTGTGTGTGTATCTGTATGTATGTATATATAAGTATATATTCTCAAGTAGGTGTTCAAAATATTTTGATGTATAAATATGTACATAACACTGTATATGTCTCTGTGTGTACATTTGTTGTTTTTTAATTGCTTTCTTGAACAATTTGTAAAATACCAAAAGAATTTCTCAATTTTGACAATGATAAGTGCTCTGAAAATTCTATATATTTATAATATTTATTTCATAATTCTGCTATAAGTCTTACATTCTTAAGTAAAATTAACTAATAGTAGAATTATCAAAAGATGATAAGACTTTATTTGCAGGAAAATATTTTTAAAAAGCTGCAGTTAAAATATGAAAAATTAAATATATATAGAGACCATAGATATAAAATGTGTAGCTTTTCTAAGATCGTAATATGTATTTGTGCTTTGTTTTCTTTTTCATGAAGGTGTATCAAACGTTAAAGATTTGAGCTTCCACATTTAATAAGTTCAGTAGAACAAAGTGATTACAAGTGGTATATTTCATTTTACAGGTTCACTTTAAATACTTGTGTCAATCTTCCTCACCATAAGAAAATCTATGTTATCAAGTTTAAACCAGTAAATAAATGTCAAGATAAGTCTCTGTATCAGCCATTAGCAGTTACAACCAGTGAAGATAGAAAATTCAAACTATGGGGCTTAGTTGATGATGCTGACACAGACATTCATGGTATGTCAGAAACTTTATTCCAATTTGTGAACTATTGTTTATATCTGAAGAATTAAGATAAGATACTTTCAAAGTGTTATCTGGTCAAACAAATGATGTATGTGTGAATGTCTAGTGATAATGAATATGTTTGGATTACTGTTATGGTGCAATAAGGTGGTTTATGTTAACAGTTCTGAACTACTGGCTAAAGTCACTTATACTGCATAAACATCATTCATTTAAAGAATATTATGATATATGTTCAGTACTTTAATTTTTGAGGTATGTTATGATACACTAATGTTTTAAGTTGGTTTCATTAACTCTAGATTTAAAAGGTCAAAGTAGCCGTGAACTTTGCACTAAATGTTATCTTTGTCTAACAGTTTATTTGACACTTGGATTTTATGATTGATTTGCTTTTGTTAACTGTATTTGGACTTGCTGCACTACACAAAAATACTTAGTTTAAATTGTACTGGTAGACAAAAAAGCTTCCATGAACAATGTAAATAGACATAAAATAGTGTTTGGAATTGTGGTATGTTTTGACACAACTTATAGTTTTTAGTAATTTAAAGTGTAATATATAATAACGATTTTGTGAGGCTGTACACGTAATGTAGATACAGTTTGATCTTAAAAAGGTATAGTGTACTCAAGCAAAATCAGTAGTTAAACTATAGATAAAAGTTATGATGTATAATAAAGCATTTGCAAAGAACTTTCAGCTGATTTGAAATACAGATGCTTCTAATTTAAATAAATTTATCCTGCAGCTCTCTTTAATTTCGAAATCTTTACTCTGAAAATATATTAAGTTCTTCTGGATATTGAGTAAAGTTAATTAAAATAAAATAAATAATTAATGCTAATAATAAAAAATTTGGTTTTAAAATAATGTGAGGTTAATTAAAATTATAAATCAATTCTGATGTAATGGCTTAAATAAAATTTCATCAACTTGATCTAGTTCACACTGAAACAGCTGTTGTTCAAGTAATTGATGATATTTTTCAGCATAGGCTCGGTTCCTGGGACCAACCTTATAACCATTTTGTGTTTGTTATAGTTTTCATGCTATAACTTTTGAATTAGTAAATGTAATATT